CTCCCAGTCTCCTGCCTCCTGGCATTTTTAACAAACATTTCACACTTCCCCACATCACTCCTTCATTTTCTAAGTTATGGTTCCTTTCCTCTCCAGACCCTGACTTTCCATTTCAACCAGTTATCTTTGAGGCTCAAATCAAAACACATGCTGGGATGGGTTATAGCTCCTCTTTGGTACAACTTGTTTTTATCATAAAAAACAACACTGGATTCACATTTCAGCATCTACTGACTGAGACAACAACAACGACAGTGAACCCAACCACACACACTCGGGAGAGCCACACTGGTCCTAGGCTTCAGGGTGCTCTCTTTCCTCTACACTCACCCAGTAGTTCACGCAGCTCATCCATGGCACTCATCCATCTGTCTTAATATTGTAGTTATGCTTATTTGTGTTTTTACTATAAGTAAAATCCAATCTGCCAATGCTGGAGTTGAAGAATGCTGGCCAAATCAGCCAACCCTCTTAGGGTTAGTGGGCCAAAAGCATACACACCTTTCCCTGCACAATAAAAATAGTTATCAGTCCCTTTATAGGTTATTCTAAATGGGTATAGGGTTACATTTACCCATCTGTTTCACAAGGCAAAAATAACATCCAAATGGTTAGGGGAAAAAAGTCAAGTCTGGCACTAAGAACTAATCTTAGAAAATGTATTTAACCAGAACAACTCCCTTTCTTTCCAAATTTGAATAAATGATGCATTACTCAACATAAGCACAGATACATGTCCTTATAACTTATAGCTGAAACAAGCTACAGCTAAGGAAATATGGACACTGTCTCATGGTCAGCTTTTAAAGTACAAGTTAGAAATCACCATGTTCTCCTTATTTTGTGTGAATGTTGAGTACTTACACATGTCCATTTGTGTTCAGGAATCTAACAATCAAACGAGCTGGAAGGGAAAACCAGTGCTCTCCACTCCTAGTCTGCTCTAAAGGTGCCTAAGCTAAGCGACCACCAGAGCGCTGGACCCCTGCAGCCCCCACGGTACCCAGCAGAGCACTAATCTAATTTTGAGGGTTACTTTTGCCAATAACCCTTCCTTAGACCCCTGATAGCAGGTATTTCTTCTTCATTTCAAAGCCAGTCCAGTCCAGACAATTATCAAGGTATCTGGCTTTGAATTAAAGTTGCTTTCAATAGTTGTAAGAGCAACATTCAGCTTACACCCTATGGGACTGAATATCACACTGTAGTAACAGAAGACACTGTGCGCACACAAATGCTTCACCTGACACACAGTGGAAGTTTGTATGATGTCAGAGCAGAAAGGACCCCTCTAGCATTTTTGCAGTGCAGGGGCGACATTCCTAATAGTTTACAAACCCACTGAGCACCTGGCTGAGTTCATTAGCACTTACAGGAGTACTATAGCATTAAAGCTGAAAACAGGTAAAATGCCCATTAATAAGATCCAACCTACAATTACTTTAAAAATTGATTTGAGAACTAAAACTTATTTTTTGAAAAACAGGCCTAATGTACTAGTGGTTCTGTGAAAAGACCAACATTTGAAACCTTACCTGAAATCCCAAAGGTCATTATCTAACTTCAAATAATAGCGGGCAGACAAAAACGAGTAGATTGAGAAAAATAATTCTGTTGCTGCCTCAGAAGTTTTAGGCTTTCTAAGACAGTTTACTGTCATTGGTTCTAGTCCGTACCACTGCCTAAACAGAAACAAAGACAGGGTATTCAAATGTGGGTAGCAGCTTTTCAATGGGGAGTCAGCCAACTTACCGAGTCATATAAAGCATTCACTTTTAATGACAAAGAATAAAACAACAACACTAGAGTGTGTCAGATGAATAAATGGACAGGGAGGGAGAGTGTGCAGGTATAAATATGAATTTACGTGGGAGTCGAAATGCTAACGTGAAAATCCTTCTCGTTACAAGTATTTGAACAGTCAGCACACTGACATTTTAGGAAGCAGAGTGTCAGTCAGAGGCTAGTTAGAAGGAACATTTCTATCTCTGCAATTCACTGGATTGACGCTTCTAAACAGGCAATGTCCATCTTACCACAGCTTATCACACTCAGTCTTGACAACGTGCAAGGTTGTGTGTTTGTGTTGTGTGTACGTGTGCAACTGCCTGTTCATGCACAGTGGAGGCCAGTGGCTGATATGGAGATGTTTTTCTTAAAGTGCTTCTTCATTTTATTTACTTGTTTATTTTGAGACAGTCTCACTGAATGTGAAGATCAAAGCCCACAGTGTCAACTGGACAGAATGGCCAGTGTTTCTCCACACCCTGCTGATTTGCATGGACGCCTAGAATCCAATCTCTGGTCCTTGCATATTTCAGAAAGCACTTTAACCACTGAGTCACCTTCACAACCCCCACTTAAGCTTTTTATTCAAAACTGGATCATACAAATAAACATCCACATGAACAAAAACTGAACAAAGAGCACACATTCTTGAGTTTTCTAGAAGCTTCACTCCTACTATTTTCTCTTTTTCATTGTTCCATTTGTATGAAGGTATGGTTTTAACGTATGTTTACAATGCATCCCCCCTATATATAAAATCTTTTACAAAGCTAAGCTTGTTAATGATGGGAACTAAGGAACCCCTTACAATAATCTAGAACCTGCTAGATCTGTGATACAAGCATTGGGAAAGGAATAGGCGTGTGGCACTTATAGATATTAACCAGATTCTCTGTCTGGGAAACAAAAACATTAATGAAGCCCAATAAAAACTTAGTTGGCATGAAAAAGCAGGAAAGGTATGTGTACATGTGTGTCTGTGCGCAGCTTTAGGGAGCAAAGAAAGTTTAGACTGAGACAAACTGGTTATTAGGTACGGAAAGCGCCACCTTGGATTTTCTTCACACTTGTGCTCTTCCTTCTTTAACCCTAGAAATGCCAAGTAAACACTTGATTGTCTAGCTCTTCTGACATGGGGTTTGTATTTAACTGCAATATTCTCTTTTCTCTTGATGGCCTAGACTATCCAATTCATTTTATATTCCTTTTCTCTCTAATAATAAAGGGTTCTGGGTTTGGTTTGCTTTTGTTGTTTTAATGAAAGGTAAAATCAATTACCAGTGCCTTAAACTATTGTGTTTTGAAAAGTTTTCAGATGAGATTAAGTATTTAATGGACCAACAGTCAAGTGGAGAAACACCTCACCCATTAAATATCAGAATAAGTTGCTAAGAACGCAATGAAACATCTTCATAAGCACTCCAAATAATCCAAAGTAGGCCTCACCAACATCTTGGGTCCTTGTTTCTAATTAGACTCAGTTATTTAGCTTTCACCAAAATGTACCCACTTTCATTTAAGGATTATCAAACAGAAATACACAAAAAGTCTTCTTCCACATAGTAGAGAATAGGTGACTAAGGGTAAAAAGCCAAGGTAAGACAGTCTTGGTCTGCACTCCTGCTTTGCTATGCAGTAACCCTCCAAGTGTAGACAAATGACAAAGTTCCGAGCACAACTTGCCTCTACAACAGAAGAGAAGCCTAGACCTACACGTCACAAGGCAATCCCTGAGCATCAGGCTCGTGAGTCGCATAGCACGGGGATAATGACAATGACCTGTCAGATCAGCAGTTTCTCACTTTTACTGCCTCCATCTTAAATGTCTACAATCGCATGCTGATCAAAGTACAGGCCTACGAAAATTAAAACCTCACAGTCAGAGCTTTTAATCAGGGAGCCAAACTGTTTCCGCCTCTTCAATACCAACAGTTGTCCTGTCATCTGTGTACAAAGCCAAGAAACCAAGTGGAGAAGCAGAAGAAAGACACCAGCACAAGTCAAGTGTTTCTTGAGGAGAAGGGCATAGTCGACGTACACTGTAGAACACGAGGAAGAAGAAAAAGGCAGGGCAGCCAACTACTCAAGAAAGCACAAGGCAACGACTTCAAAGGCGCAGGAGAAATAAAACAGACTTGAAAGAAGACTTAACAGAAAAAGATGTACTCAGAAAAAAAGGTGTATTTTAAGACTTGAGAGAGATGAAACTTGCTAAAGCAAGCAGTTTGAAAGAGTACAAAGTCAAGAGCAAAGCATTTTCCAAGTCATAAGAAGCGCATTATGAGTACGCTGACAGGCAAACAAGCAGTCTGAAGAGATTATCTGCAAAGCTGGACTAGCCAACCAAAAATAACAGAAAAATGTGCATACTAATACGTGTGTATCTAAGTTTACTAATCCTATACACAGGTGAGACACATTAAAAGAAAAATCTATATAATTATCAATGAGGTCCATTATTAAGACTTTTCCCGTTGAGGTTTTAATCTATAGACCAATGAGTTAGTCTATATATTTGAAATTTCACTCATTTCCTTTTCTAATAAAGCACCCTTTTCCAAAGTAGCACTACCATAATCTTTTTCATGTTTTTTAACCAAAAATTTAACCAAAATATTCCTTCAACGGAAAGAAACTTGGTCTACCAGCACTAAGGGAAGCACCCACTATGCTGCAGTACAACACAATTGTAAAATCCAAAGGCCAAGCAAACGTGTTCATATTCATTAGTCTTCTAACAGTCACACCATTCCATAATATGGGCTTCAGAGAGCAGAGGCTTGTCTGGGTTAATGACCTCACACAACAGGTATGTACTGCCCCTTTGGTCTAAAGGAGCTGTTCTGTACTGTCTTCCCTAGGCAACAGACCCCCAGAAACTGTTCTGTACACATCACTGCAGCGCTGGCAGGGGCTGCCACAGGTCTTCCCTCTCGATGGTGCTGTCAAACATCAGCCTCCCATACTATAGCAGCCGGTTTCCACAGGTCATTTAGCACACACGTGTGCGTGCATGCATGCGCCGCACCTGTGCATTTTGCTTTGGTTCTCAACTTACATTCAGACCAAAAAATGAGGCGACTCTGTGCTGCTGGGCACCCGCCGCAAATGCAGCAGCTCAAACAGAAAAAGGCTCACAAGGCCCCTGCACAGAACCCACCTCACAAAGTACGACTCAGCTGTGTTTAAGTAAGTCACAAGTGTCCTCTTACCTGAGTGCATAGTCAAGTCCATTTTTTGTGGTTGATAAATCAACGGACTGTCTTCGTTTAATGGAAGAACACATTTCTGAACAAATCTCTTTCTTGCTGTCTGGTTATGGATCTTCTGAGGAGAAAGAGCAGAATTCCTTTCTTCCCCCATCCTTTTGTTTTTAAGAAGTTCTATCAGTGTAAGAGACTGGCTCTTTTTTCCACTGGGCAGTTCAGGTTTTGTTTCGTCACATTCATTCAGGAAACTCAGGCCTTCTTCCTCTGATGCAGACACTGACAGGGCCTCTGTCTTTAGACCATTATGGTATTCATCAAGAGGTAAAACATTCTGAGACAGGAAGTCATCACCTGGTGCGAGTTTCTGAGCTACAAATGGTCTGGGAATAATGCGACGACTGTTGAGTGCCTTTAAAATCTTTTCATACTTCTCTTCGTTCTGCATCATCTCATTGAGAACACAGATCGGAGACTTGTGAGCATCCCACTTGGTTTTCCCAAGTCTTTTCAGATGGCCTCTGACATGATTTGATAACCCAATCTTTGTGTCAAACCAACCACCACAGAGCTGACAAGCATGCTCAGAAGTAGTCTCGGCCTTCTCCACAGCTAAAAAAAGATTGTTAAGAGTGGTGTCAGACTGTTTCACAAATCCCCATCAATGAGTTAACTCTGAAACATGAAGGACCAAATTCAAACACAATTTTCAACTCCTCTGAATCTGAGCAGACTTATTAGGCCCCAACTACCTCCACGAGACTTACCTTTTCTAACTCGTTTCACAGGCGTCCCTGTGCCAGCTCTTTTGAAATGCTGCATTTTGTCGCTTGTGGCTATTTGTTCTGGTGACACAACGTGACGGGCTTCATAGCTTAATCCTGCTCTATGAAGATGTCCTCGGACGTGATTTGACAGCCCAACACCTGTTTCAAACGTTGCTGGGCAGTAAGGACATGACTTCTTCTCAAGGGACAGGTCAGTCCAGTGAAAAACAGAGCTGTGCTTTGACAGAGGCGTTTCTGCATTTTCCAAATTCTGAGGATCATGTATCTCCTGTAAAAAACTGTTAGTGCCACCATCTTCGTAATACTCAAAGTAGAAGCCATCATTCTGATTGTAACTAAGGGCAGCACTGTCTCCAGGACCCTGGCTTTCCATCTTGCTTTTAAATAGGGGCAGTAAGTTTACATGGTCTTGACTAAGGCCACTGTAGGCTTCTTCGTCCATGGTCTGTGTAGTGTAGTCACCTAACTCATCGTTATCCCAGGAGTTGTCATCTTCTGTCTCATAACTATCTTTCTTTTCAGAAGAGTTAAGCTTCTGCAAAACAACAACAGTCATTTTATGCAGAAAATCAGGATAGCCATCCAAGTCTTCTCCACCAGAACTTTCCTTCTTGGAAGCCTTAACTACTCTTTTTACAGCTACACGCTTGTGATCTGGCCTTTTGGTGTCTGGATTATGAAGGTCTGAAATAAGATTATTATGAGAATTATTTGATGATGAAAACAGATGTAAAGAGTTTAATGAATTAACTTCTTTTTTGAAAGGAAGTGGGTGTGATTCACCTGATTTTTTGATCATCCTGTAGTTTTCATACTTGTGTCTATATAAATAACTGCTATTTGCCTTGGCATTAGATTTTTCTTTTGCTGCTTGATGGAAATACTTTGGCTTTTGGTCAGTGCTGCTTTTAACCGTAATGTTTTTTTGAGGAGAGCTGTTTTGATTGCACGCATTTACACCAGACTGGGCAATACTTTTCCGGGCTTTTTGTATTCTATGTGGCCTCTTATGAAACTTTGAAAAATGACTTGATTGTGAGCTTGGTACAAATGTTCGTTTAACATCCTGTTTTAAAGCAGAGTTCTTTGGAAATGTGGCTGACTGTTGTTTAACTGTATCTACAGATTCCTCCAGGATGTCACCTTTTCTTTTGTCAAGTCCAAGAGGGTTACCAAACGAATCAACACATGATGGGGAATGTAAATACTCCATGTGCTTTTTCAAAACACTTCTGGCTGAAGTAGTAAAGGGACACATTTTACATAAGTACGTAGCTGATTTTTTGGATGACCCTGTAACAGAGTCTTTCGTCAAAGTCTTTTTTTGTGTTTTCCTCTGAGCTGCATCTGAACTGACGACAGGACATTTCACGGCTGCTCCATGGGCAATGCCTCGGTGGCATTCCAACTCATTTTCTGTCACTGCCATGAAGTTACACTCTTCACAGCAATAGTACCTTTTGTCTTTCTCATGGGTTTTAGCGTGTTGGACAAATGTCTTAGGGCAGTTGGTACCAAAAACACACTGAGGGCACTGCAACCGCGCACTCCTTCCTTCATCCTGGAGCTCTTTCAACTCGCGGATCTCTTCCATCAGTTTCTGCCTTCTTTCCTGGTGGATGATCATGTGTTTCAGCAGTGAGTTGCGATCTCGAAACGTCCGTCCACACTCTCTGCAAGCATACGGTCTTGGGACGTTAAGGTGACGAAAGTGACTGTTCCCATCTAAATGATACATCATGTGTCTGTGGAGGTGTTTTTTCTCCCTAAAATTCACATTGCACTTCGTACAGGGGTAGAAGGATGGCTCTTCAGTACTGAAAGTAGCGGGTGACTCAGAATCACTCTCTTCACATTTCTTTTTTAAGGTATTTGAAATAAAAGTGCGCGTATGAACAGGTGAATTGTCGTCTCCACATTTATCTGCGTTACACACTAGATGCTGAGAAGTGTCCACAGACCCCACGTCTCCATCAGTAGACTCGGGTTTCAGCTCTGATAATGTGTACTTCTGTGTGTCTACTGTCTGCACCTCCTCGTTCTGCCCTAGAAAGTCAACTTCTAGCACTTTTGATTTATTGGGTACACGATTAGAATCACTAAAACAATCCTCTGTGTAACGCGTTATTTTGCTTACATCCATTTTTCGCTTTCTCTTTTTTTCTAGACCCACTACTTTAGAATGAACAGGTTTATCCACTGTTTCTTCGTTAGTCATAAGAAACTGAATGAACTCTTTTTGAGGATCCCAGTTTGTATCATTTTCTGACCTAAATTCATCGGTACCTGAGGAGACGCCTGCTAACGTACTGGCGGCACAGTTATCTTTCGCCAATACACCCTCACTACCCTCGCCCACCTCTACTTGGTTTAGTAAAGTGCTCTCTGACTTCACACTACTCCCTACTGAATTCGGAACATCACAACCAACTAAAGCAGAGGTAGGTAGTTTTTTAATGGAATGGGCTGTATTCTTAGTATGTGCTACATCTGATAACAAAAACAGAACTTGGTGTTGGCTTGCTTTTTGTGGTGCAGACAGCTGAACATCAGCTGCTGCCTTCAAAGTTGAACACGATTCTGTTGCTGGCTGAGCCACAGGCTGTCCAGTGGTTAATGAAACACTACCTTCATTCATATTCGAAGTCTTTGTTAAGGCGCGTGAAACTGGCCCATTAACAACAGCTCCTGCAGGCAACGTAAAGTTTTCACTAGGAACAGCAGGCGTGCCGGCAGGTACAAACAAAGCAGACTGGCCTCCACTTAAGGCTTTTTCTGATTTACCCTCTGACAATTCTTCAGACAGAGTCAATGAACTGTTTTTCTGAAATGGTGTCTGACAGTCTTTTGGTTCATGAACTCCATCGTCTTTTTCCAAGATAAAACTTCTGTCATCTTGGATCTCTTCTGTAGCACCAGAGGCATCGGTGTCTGTCTTCAAATCACCCATGTTGTTGGCAAGATCATCTAACACATTCCAGAGTCTAGAAAACGGAAAACAAAAACTTAGATTTGCATGAATGCATGCTACTGGGATGTATGGAGAGTTGGAAGTACTCATTTTCATTGACTTATCTTTATATTGAAGACACTAATAATTTTCTAGGAGTCAGAAAACATTTCAAACAAAACTGAACCACATTAAAAAATGAAAGCAAAACTGCTGTCTGAGTTTTCTGGAAACTCTGTATGCCACACACACACACACACACACACACACACACACACACACACACACACACACACACACACACACACACACACACACACACACACACACACTTCCTAGGGAAAGGCAGCACACAAACCATAAATGAATACATTGCACACTGAAAGTTTAAAACATCATGCATAAAGTTATAATAAAAAGAATTCTCTGGCTTGAACAGACTTACTTTATACAATACAACTGGAATTATCAACTATTATAAAGAACTGTTTGTCACCTGAAAGTTCATTCCTGGAGGAAAGTAACAAATATTACATAGGAAATAACTTTATTTGCATCAAATATATTATTTGCATTCAACATAAATGGCTTACCTATGTATAAAATAGTAATTTTTGCTTCTAAAATATTTAAAACTGAAGCCGGGCGTTGGTGGCGCACGCCTTTAATCCCAGCACTCGGGAGGCAGAGGCAGGCGGATCTCTGTGAGTTCGAGGCCAGCCTGGTCTACAGAGTGAGTTCCAGGACAGTCTCCAAAACAATACAGAGAAACCCTGTCTCGAAAAACCAAAAAAAAAAAAAATTAAAACTGTTTTGCTCTCAAGACAGTATTCTATCAAAATTCTACCAACTATAGAACTGCTTATTCATATGGTTCTAGTCATTCTTTACTCAACTTATCACTAATTCTAAGTTACTAATGTTAAAATTAATCAAGCTTTATGATGAAATTTTATACAGTGAGATCTCAAATTCTAGGCATTCCCTAAAAGCAATTATACCATTTATAATCTGACAGAAGTGCAAAGGCTTAAAACTTTTTTACAATGAGATATCATGTCATAAATACTTAGTTTATTTCATATGTAATGTAGGTTAACATGGCAAAGTGCTTTGATCATATATTGAATCATGTAAGAGGCAGAACAGACTTTTCAGAGAAAGGAGCGTGGCTGTGAGGCAGTTAACATGGCTGTGATTGCCCCCACCTCACAGGGCACTCTTCCACAGGGCTCTGAGAAGCAGACACACTGTGTCGGAACTGCTTGTCCTTAACTCTTAAAGGCAGGGACACAACCTGGTCACCATCATGTTTCATAGAACCACATGGCAAAGACGCTAGGCAGTGTTTGTTGAATAAAGGACTAAGTGTTGAATAAGTAAAAATTTTATTGCAAAATCAAAACCGAAAGAAAAATGGCTGTTTTTCTACGAAACCTAGACATACAATTCAAATACAAGTCCTACCATGGTTCTGGACTCGAGTGGGCAACTACAGAAGAGCCTGTTGTGACCGCAGCAGGCGGAAGGAAGCGAGCTCACTCAGGCCCCCACACGAGCTAAGCACTTGCCGCATGCCAGGCACAGCTGCACAGTCGCGACACAGCAAAGAGACAGACTTGGTTTCTGATTTGCAGACAGGAACAAATCCTTCCCATTACCTCTGCAATATTTTAAAACTCGACAGTGAACAATATAGCAGGGCTCTAAAATTCAACTCAGAAATTAGGATATTTTAAGTAACTTGCAGTTGGAGTATTTTATGCTTTATAAAACATTAACTCTAGCACAAGAATAAAAGATTTGTAATAACTGCCTCATTTCATAGCTTACAAAACACATTATTCTTTCAACGAAGTGCTTAATAAATGCATCAAAGATTACTAACAAATATAAAAGATCTTTCTTTGGCATTATTTATACCAACAGTCATTATTCCTTCTCTCACACATTTCAGAATTCTGCTTTGAAACTGGCAAACTTCCACCGTAATAAAAATAGACTTCCAATAAGATCGTATTCAATGACATCACCCCAAAACGGTGTTAATGCAGCACCCAGCAGGGGTCTACACCACACACACAGAAGTTAAGAGTGGGCAGCCATAAACATGTGTGCGGAGAGAGCACAAATGTCAGAAGAAAAGAGGGGCTGACTGGGTCCAGGAAAAAGTGAAATGCCCAGTATTAACAACAGCCTCATAAATCTGTGGTGAATAGCAGTTTAACTAGCCTGAAAGACACTTTCTGTTTCTATATATTATAATCACACAAGTAGACAAATATATGCTCAGTCGATTTGAAGCCTGTATTAGCTTTTCTCAACAGGAAGCCACGTCGCTAACGAAGTGGTAAATTCAGTGTTAATGAGTGGCTTCACTGTTACCACCTCAGAGGTAAAGCCTTCCATGTTCTGTGTTCCACCCATCTGTTCTGGTGTTAGAGGTTCAAGGATGGAACAGACGCTCCCCATTTAAAGCACCTTCACTGGTAACCCCTGAACAGCAGGTGACACACTATGAGAATATCGTGTCGTTTTGGAGGCTGCGTCCTTGTTACCAGGATTGCTTAAGAAGATCTTCTAACTTCACATTTGGAAGATACATATGAAGAATATATGTGCACAACATAACTGATCCACAACATATCTACTAAAACAAGAAAATCTGAATTATACTGCTAGAACATAAAATCAAGTTCTTGGTTCATGACATCTACATAATGAAATGTGGCTTAGCTAGCCACAAACAGTTGTATTTAAGATCAACTAACATTTTTCTGGGTTTAATCTTCATAATATATTCTGACTATAAAATGCTTTTATATTTTATACAATTTTATTTTATAAAAAAGTATTTTACACAATTTTCAGGACACCATGAAAAACAACACATCATTATATTCTATTGCACTGAAGCTTTGACATCTCTTTCCTTGGATTCAGAGAGGACTGTGTTCAGTCAGGTAACAAAGCATTTGACCTATAAACTAACTTTCCAAACAGTTGTTCACTGCCCTTTTATGGACAAATACATACAGTACCAGTTTGTTACTGTAACAAAGAAACATATTTGGAGATAAGCATTGTTTATTACATTTAAGGAAACGAATCAGTGATAGAGATGGCTCAGTGGATAAGAGCATGGACTGTTCTTCCAGAGGACCTGGGTTCAAGTCCCAGCATCCACATGGTAGCTCACTGGAGTCACTCCAGTTCCAGGGGATCTGACATCTTCACACAGAAAAACATGCAAGCAAAAATCAACACACATAAAATAAAAACAAATGAATCGTTAAAAATAGAAATAAAGGAAGCTAATGTTTAAAGCATATTATAATGGTATCATGTTTAAAAGATTTCATTATTTAAGAGAACTTGAATTTGATGAATTCAAAGTACTCCTTAGGATTCTTTAAGATAACGTTTTGATAGCACTACTAGAATCCTTCTGTAATCACAGGATCTTCCTCTTAACTGAATTTAAACAATTCATAAACTTTTTTAAAAGCTGCAAATGGGGTTTAAAATCTCCATGAAGCATAATGAGCTCTCCAGCTGTAACTGCCTGGAGTTATCCTGTGAGCGTTCCAAGTACAGGGGTCAGATCTGTCTTCACGATGACAGGTCATCACTGATGCGCCTCCAGCTAGTCTTACTGTCTCAGAAATCTCAAACATCACTATTTTTGCAAACTATCAGCACTTGCTATAACACCCTCAGTACACTACATCTTGAGGTTACTACAGAAGAAATGAGGTGATAATTGCATATTAACATAATTATTCTGTAACCCCTCCGAGCAAGCTTCCTAGGTCACTCAGTAATTCAGATTAGATACAACCTTCCTGTCATCAAATCTATGCTGTCCACTTTCTGTTCATGAATAATTCTTTTTTGATAAAAATTAGCTTAATTTCATTCTTTTATGTACATTATTAATTGTATTTATTGCAAGTAGGTTAACATTTTGTGGGTACTTATTACATAATGCCAACCTTTGTCATACAGTATTATTTCACATAAAATGTAGTGTAATTTTGTCCTCATTCTAAGTTACTTCATTAGTGATTACATTACATGGCTATAAATAAATTATAATGTTGCCCACTAGCTGAGTTCTAGCCAGGTTTTCAAAAACCCTATATTCATTTACATTAGCCTTAGAATACATGACAACTTCAACTAGTAATATATGAGCCTGGGTCAACAAGAGAAAACCATTCACAAACTGTCATCTCAACTGCAAAATAAATCCCAATTAACTACATTTACATCACTATAGTATTTAAGTCTGTAAGTGCTCTACAAAATGCAACAACATACAAACCCAATCAATTCTCACCCAGAGCCTACTAGAAGAAAAGTATAACACATATGTTACACACATATTTTACAAAGTATATTACACATCATCCAGGTAGTACATTAACATGGGTGGGTGCTACACTGAATGGAAATACTATCAAAAAATAAATGACACTTATACAAAAACAGAAGCTAACACAAACAACCATGTCAAGTATGTTCCACCGTAGTCTCTGGTTTATAATCTACAATCTACTGAAAGCTTGTCAGAGAGAGCAGAACACATAGCATGTTCAAACTATATGGATGGAAAAAGCCAGCAACAGGAACTTCTTGACACAGAAGATGGTTGTCTCACACAGAGGCCAACTAAGATGGCCCCACAGGGAACTACTTGTCAGGAACCCTGAAGAACAGAGCCTGAGGTTGAAGGTCAAGGAAGACAGCTTCCAAGGTCCTTTTTTACATGCATGATACATGTTAATTTAATTACATCACCAACCTACAACACTATTTGAAACTAGGATTGAAATTTAACTACTGGACTCTAAACACTCCCTAAGTTCACCATTACTGGGAATGATCTTTTAATAACTTGTTGACACAATGACCCTGGGCAATGAGTGACTAGCCCACAGAACTACACAGCTGCCCCTTACCAAATGACAGAGAGAGAGAGAGAGAGAGAGAGACAGACAGACACAGAGAGAGAGAGAGAGAGAGAGAGAG